TCCAGCTCACTCGATTGGTATTCACCCAACTTCACAAATTGACGCCTCTGTGTCAAATAACTTCTAATCCATTTCAGAACCATTCCTCTGATCCCATATTTTTCTAACTTGTCCATTAATAGTTCATGATTAATTGTGTCAAATGCCTTTTTTAGGTCAATAAATATCCCCATCGTGTATTTCTTCTCATCCATAGCACTTGTAATGTCCTCCATCAGGTCGGTAATGGCCAAAGATGTTGATCGGTTCGACCTAAAACCGTATTGGCAATCAGAGAGGATTTTATATTTGTCAATAAATGTATCTAATCTGTTATTAAAGGGTTTTTTCAGAATTTTTGAAAATTGTGACAACAGGATAAGGCCAGTAATTTTCTATATTCGTTTTTTTTTCCTAAACTCCTCATACAGACAAACCCACAATGAATTTTCTCTACTCAGTCAATGACTAACCATATTGCCCAACCATATTTGCGTCACCTTTTTGTATGAACGTAGCCCAGTGTCAATTTGTTTATATTAGTGCTGTCAATCGATTAAAATATTTAATCACGATTGTCCATAGTGAACTCACAACTAATTGCAAATGAATTGCACCTATCTGTTCTGAAACAGTGGTGGAAAGTAACTAAGTACATTTACTCAAGTACAATTTTGAGGTATCTGTACTTGAGTATTTTCATTTTCTGTTACTTAATACTTTGACTTCACTACATTTTAGAGGTAAATAGTGTACTTTTTACTCCACTACACTTATAACTTTAGTTTGAAGCTGAACTATTCAGAAGACCTTTTTCTTTATCCATTTCTACTACTGCATAGCTTTCTGATTTCCCAAACTCGGGGCAGGCCGAGGGTCATAATCACAGAACGTGTGTGCGTTTATCATGCATCCCAAAAAAAAGGCATTAAAAGGAATCTGTTAACTTATCGCATTAACTTTGACTGCCCTAACATCCAAATATAGAGAAAGAGGGAGAGAGTTCTTTACAGTAACTATTTAAATCCCTGTAAATTTGCACATCTCTGTAGTGATTGAAATGTCAGGAAGCAGACTACAAAAACAAAACTACAAAACCTGCTTAGATCTAGTGTGTAGCATGGATTTGGGACACTAGTTTTGATTTAAGCAAAAAACAAAGTACTGTATATTCAAAAGAGATACACGGAGGAATTATTCAGTGATGAGGATAAAATTAAAACTAATTGCAGCTGGTGGTGACAGCTCCAGGAACATCAGAAAACAAAACAAAACCTTTTACTATTTTTGGTAAAGCACACATTTTGCTGTCTCTCATCTAGTCTAGTCACAGTTTACTTGATGTCTGATGGGTTTGGCATAGTACTTTGCTACATAAGAAATCGGCATGCTGCAAAAAAGATAAACTGTAAAATTATTTAGTACATGTATGTAGTTACTGTGTAATATGAAATGGGGGAAGTGGTTAAATTCATATTTGAGGCAGCAGAGGGCAGCAGTGCTTTTTCTTTGGGCATAACATTACACTGAAGAGTGACATTATCTTAGCATCTAGTCTGTTATGCACACATAACTGATACTGCTATTCTCCTCCTCTTGAATTTTTGACAGGGCGCTAGCATCAATGCACTGCAGGCTTTAGCTGTTCCCCTATAATGTGAGCGCTTTCCAGAGCTTTGACAACCCACTTTAAAATGTCCAAATGTGTCCAAGATTGGAGCTTAAATCTTTCCTCTGTGTTTTAGTTTGAAAAGCACTTAAGTTGTGGCTATCTGCTCTTGTTGTTTTTCCTACTCCTGTCTGTGCTAGAGCTGGGGAGCTGAAGAGTTTCTCTCCCTGGAGATTGGACTTTAACATATCGAGTGTGAGAACTGATCAGTTTGCATTCTTTATGCTGAGGTCAGTCTCTGTAGAAAGCCTCCTTTGGCCAAATTCAGACACATGAATGATATGTTTTGCTGTGAAGGGCCAATTTGTATACATATGAATATATCTACATATTTTTAAAGCATTTTTGTATGTTTCAAAGCTGCTTTTTAACGTGCGTTTATCATGGAAGACTTTAATGTTGTATGTGTGCATTACAAGCCTACAGTAAGAGGTCTAATGTTGTATACCGCGTCATTTCTGTTTTTCTCTCCCATTTTCTCAGTAGGCAGTAATATTTGACATTGCTTTCTAGGTTTGTAAATGTTATCTTTTTTTGTGCAAACAAAAACTGGTTTGTTTATGAACAGTCATTTTAAAAATAACTGGGGCAAAAAAAAAAAAAAAAGTAAACAAGCAACTGTGTACTCTAACGAGAATGAATCGACTTTTAGCAGTAAGGAAGCTTCTCTGGTGCCTTACAAATAAAAGATGTAATTGAAATTGGTCATTCTGTCTTCAGTCTTTTCACAGAGTTAACAACTAAACTAGTTCAAGAGGACGAAGAGACAACATTAAAGTGCATCAAAATCACAAAACCGTTGTTTTCCAATGAATTTGTATTGTGTGAAGGCGCCTCTGACCATTCATTCATTTTTTACCGCTTAGTCCCTGAACGAGGTCACGGAGCCAATCGGGCGAAGGCGGGGTACACCCTGGACAGGTCGCCAATCCATCGCAGTCTGACAATTCACTCTACACAAAAAAAAAATTAAAAATGCCTGAAAGCAGCTCTTTGGTAGGATGCGCACATAAGGCATTAGCAGGTACAACAGGGAAATGGATCCTGACACAGTCTACATGTTCAACAAGCATCTTGGTTTGTTTGCATGTGCCTTAGCAAACTACAGTAACTTGCCAACAACAGCACGAGGGAGGAAATTTAGCTTTACAACTTTATTTCCAGAATAGCCAGATTTAGTGGGAAATTGAAGACAGACAGCTAGCGTGTGCCATCATAACTTTATTATTATAAAGTTATGATGGCACAGGCTAGCTGTTAGTGTTGGCAAGCTATGGTAGTCAGCTAAGGCACTTGCAAACATCTTACTGTATTGCTTTCAGATTTATAACACAAAATGTATAACATCAAAATGCTTTAGCTACTAAAGTAACCTAAACTGGCATTTGGAAGCTTGACCTAATTGTGACAAAATGCTTGCTGCACATGAAGGCATAACAAGTGTCAGGACTGTACAGTTTCCCTGTTCTTCCTGCTAATGCCTCACTATTCATAGTTCTCAAAATAAAAGTCTGTGTGACAGTACCACCAGAAGTAAAGTGGGGTTTTTTTTGTCATGTGTCAAACGTTTTGGAAACAGGCCTTGGCAGAATTCTGGATTAAAGATTTCCCCCATTGTAGAGATCATACCTGTACCAGAAGGAAACGCTGATCTTGTTAGTTAACTCGGAATAGATTTTTTTGAACAACCTTATCTGGCTCAACAGCTTCATTCCTGTGGCGCTGAGGAATCCCCAACTGTCAGCGGCATGTGCAGACATGAACCCTATGTCAGCATGTCCTCAACAAGAACACAAAGAGAATAGCTCAGTGAAAACAAACTGTACTACAGCTCACACAGGTAACATGCTAGTTAATATTCATGGGGAAAAAAATTGCACAAAACAACAACAGGGTGAAGGAAAGAAATTATTACCTTATGTTCAGTTTAACAAGGTTACACATGTTAGAAGAGGTCCATAGCGATGTATTTAGCTTGTGTCAGAACTGAAACTTCCTTTTCGAATCATTTAGGTGAAGTTTGTCTCTGAAAGTCTAACACAGGAAGACATACATATATACATACATTCTTAAGCTACAATTTATTACAGTTATAAACAAAATAAAAATGTATGCACTATACATAATATACATACATTACCAGTCTAAAATTTGGATACATTTTCCCTTTGAACTGAATGGAAAGTGTGTCCAAGCCTCTAACCAATGAGCCCCTTTCAGACATGCATCCCTAGCCAGGACTTTGCTGGCTATTTCATGTCTAGGCATCATGTCTGAACAAAGCGTTGAGCAGCCAGCAATGTGTTTTACCTGGTTGGAAATAGTCAAATAGCTGGCTATGTTCTAACCCGCTGTATCTCTGAATAGAAGCGGTCAAATTGCCGGTAAGGGTGCTGTCAAGATGGCAACAGTGCTACAGCACAATGCCCATCATCCTCTCTGTTTCACTGCCTTGTTCCCATGTCATTCACTACATAGCTAGCTTGAGCTAGCTTGACCACCACTGCTCTCTCTCTCTTTGTGGCGTATATTTTGGGCAGGCAGTGAAGTTTGGGCATAAAGATAAAAAGAACATAACATCACTAGCTAGTACAAAGTTTATTTTGATTGGGAATAGAAAAGATACATTTTAGCACCATGAGCCAACACTGAATGGCTAGAAATTGGGCTGACACCTAAATCAAAGGACTGCTCACCCTCCGCGCAGAGGAATAACAGTGTGTCTGCCTAGCATGATGTTGGATATCGCGCAAACGCCGTGGTTGTACCCGGCTAGGTCCTGCTATGTTTGAACAAAGTCTTGCTGGGAATTTAGTGGATAGGAGCTCTGTCCAAACGCCAAAAAAGCAACAGCTACATGTAGCCTGCAAATTCCCGGGTACCGTGTCTGAAAGGGACCACAAGTGTATATGAGATTTAATTAATGCAGACCTTCTTAAGACAGCCAAAGATAGATATCTGCAGAGAAAAGTGTCTGACAGGCAGATGTGATTTAGTCCCAGTGTGTGTAAAATAAGTCTGCAGCAAAGTAGAAAACATTCAGCCTCCCAGGCTTTCAAGGACAAATACATTTTTAGTTGGTGTTTTTGAAATTTTACAGATCTCTCTGGCATTCTTTGGTCTTTCACAGCATACAGTCTCATGCAAAAGTTTAGGCACCCCTTGATAAATAACAGATATTGGTGATTTTTTTTATTTGAACAGATGTTAACACAGTTTCTCTTGGAAATGGAAAAAATGCACAATATTTTCAGCAAACAGTGATGCATAGTTACTTCTTATGCCATAAATTGAACAAAAATAAAAAATAAAAACATTATTATGGCATGGTGCAAAAGTTTGGGCACCCTAAGAGTTCCAGAGTCTCAAAGTCTCTCACAAGGTTTCAGACCTTAATCAGCTCGGTAGATCTGATGCACAGCAACAGCTGTCATTGGTAAATGCCAATTTCAAAGCTGTACAAATACCTTGACTCTTCAAACCTTGTGCACACACTTGTGGACACCCAGCAACCATGGGTTCCTCTAAGCAGCTGTGTAAGACCCTGAAAATGAAAGTTATTGATGCCCACAATGCAGGAGAAGGCTACAAGAAGATAGCAAAGCGTTGTCAGCTTGCAGTTTCCACAGTAAGAAATGTAAATAAGAGATGGCAGATCAGGGGAACTGGGGAGGTCAAGATGAGATCTGGAAGACCAAGAAAACTCTCGGACAGAACTGCTCGTATGCTGGTCAGAAAGACAAATCAAAACCCCCATTTGACTGCAAAAAACCTGCAGGAAGATTTAGCAGACTCAGGAGTGGTGGTGCACCGTTCCACTGTGCAGCGATGCTTGCACAGACAAGGCCTTCATGGAAGAGTCAGCAGAAGAAAACCTTATGGGTGTCCGCAAGTGTGTGCACAAGGTTTGAAGAGTCAAAGTATTTGTACAGCTTTGAAATTGGCATTTACTAATGACAGCTGTTGCCGTGCATCAGATCTAACGAGCTGATTAAGGTCTGAAACCTTGTGAGAGACTCTGGAACTCTTAGAGTGCCCAAACTTTTGCACCGTGCTATAATAATGTTTTTATTTTTGTTCAATTTATAGCATAAGAAGTAACTATGCATCACTGTTTGCTGAAAATATTGTGTATTTTTTCCATTTCCAAGAGAGACTGTGTTATCTGTTAAAAAAAAAAAAAAATCACCAAAATCTGTTATCAAGGGGTGCCTAAATGTTTGCATCTCACACAAATCTGAAACGTCTTATCACAACTTGCATAAAAAGATAATAAAAACAGATTTAATTTCATGTGGTCATATAAAACATCACATCTCAATCACACATTTTTGCATTTTACACACACACACACACACTAAGACACACAGATGGTGGCACTTTTGTTCCAACATGTTTTGAGAATCTGAGTTTTCAGAGCTGTAAAATGTTTCGGAAGTCACCTCCAGGAGGAGCAGGTCTACTCCGGATTTCCAGCTAGTGGTCACTGCAGTGTTCTCTTTTTCTTTTAAGTCACGTGATAACAGAGCTGCTATTAGAGCGTGCAGGCCCAGATTAGTAAGAGTGGCTGTGACATACAGTAATGTGCTCATACAGATCCAGAGTAGTTGTAGTGGTTTCCGTGCTGCGAATCAGGAGGCTGCGGGCTTGGTTTACGCTCAAGGCAGTCGCTCTCTGCTGTGTCTGGTCTGTCGCAGGGTGGGGGTCGCTGCTTAAAGAAGTCTGACACATATCGGACCTGAAACAACAACAAAAAAAAACAAATGAGTGAACTAAAGTTTAAAAAAAGCAAGCTTTTACCTTGCTGTACAAGGAAATTATGCATTTACCAAAGGTAGCCATAATTCAACATCAATATCGTAATAAATATTTAGAGAAGTACATTGCATAAAAACAACTGGAGAATCTTCTCGTAATTATGAGACAGCAAGTCGTAATTATGAGATTCAGCTCTCATAATGATGAGATCTTTTTTCCTCATAATTTTGAGATAATTCAGGGGTTGGAACGCTGCAGAACTTGCCTGAAAATCATCAGGCTTTAATGAATTCTTTAATATCAAAGTAATTCAGTGATAGTTGTCAATACATCCAGTAGTGCAAAAGTGAACTGGTAGTTGCTAGTTCAGCAATAAAAATGAAAAAAATAAAAAATATATACACATACACACCCACACACACACACACACACACGTACAGTATACAGTGTTGCCCCTACCATTATATTAGGGGGGCAACACTGTATGAGACAGCGTGACCCTGTATGACAAAAGGTCAATTTGGAGAGGTGTGAGAGAGCCCGTTTAAATCAAGACAACCACTCAGGAAAAAGACTTTCTGTATTATTAGCAAATAAGTATGACCCAAATCACAACGAGGGTGATATCTGACTGCTCTACTCTGAAATGAAAGTGTGAATACAGATTAATATAGCAAGTGTACAGCCCCTGGTAACCACTGTAAGAAGTCTACTGAAATAGATATTTATTGGGGCTGCATTCGTTTTGTGAGTGTGATTTAGATCCCTGTACAATCTCAGTCTCGCATGATAATGATTCTGCCATGTTTGCGTGAGCATGGAGATGCCTTGCACCAAACTAAGCACCCTCTGTCCCTTGCTAAGCTGTGTTAACCAATAGCAGAAACCAGTAAAAGTTCCCTATACAGCCAGCGGATAGCTCAGTGGTTAACACCACTGACTGTGGTATGGCAGGTCATGGGTCCTTCAGCAAGGCCCTTAGTGCTATCCACTGAGCGAGGTACATCCCTGGGGAGCCAGGATGCCAGGTAAGTGGAGATGGAAGCCGGAGACGACCAAAGAAGACAAAGATTCGCTTTTCCAACAGGTAAAGTATAAGGGCTGAAACCAGCAGGCTGGCAACATGAGTAGAAGAAGAAGGGAAAGGGTTACCTGTGGTGGAGCAGGTAGAGAGGAGGCTAGAGAGAAGATGTGATAGGAGATCCCCTGCCTTTTTTTTTTTGTTTTTAGTCAAACACAGAGAGACTTTTAAAGAGACACTGATACATTTTGAAACACTTTAAAAGACAAGATGTTTAAAAATGGGTGTATTATAAACTCTTTTAATACTCTGTTTTACAACACTTTAAAGACATTTAAAAAGCAGGGGATCTCCCATCTCCTCTCTCTCTTCTCTCTACCTGCTCCACCACAGGCACCCCTTTCCCTTCTTCTACTCGTGTTGCCAGCCTGCTGGTTTCAGGAGGACCCCATCCCTCTGTCTCTAGTCTTAGCCCTTATACTTCACTTCTCTGTCAGGACACAGCATCAGCGTGGGCCCTTAATGCTATCCACCTAGGAAGGTACTACACAAATGCTACGGCAGGGGGAGTCAGGACGCCAGGGTAGGGGGGGCAATATCATCCTCCCCACAATTGGGGATTGTGGGGCTGTCGCCCCCCTAAGCCGGCAAAAAAGCAACACATCTGGGGCAGAGCCGGCATAGGCTCAGCTAGGCCTTCACTTTTCTAAATAGAGATGCAAGATTAAAAACACGCATCCTCATTCACACTTTGTAGCCTAGAAGTATAGGATTCTGAACGCTCTGACCTTACACTGTTAAATGTGTAATCATGTAAACTTCCTGCACACAGGGGCTTGAAAGCAACTGCGAGTGTCATTAATTTAAATGCTGATTCAGTCCGTTTTTGTTCAGCTGCCACAGAAACACACAGTTCAACTCACCGTGAGCACGGCGATGAGAGCTCCCTGCAGCAGTCCCACCACTACGTCGCTCCAGTGATGTTTGTAGTCAGATACACGTGTGTATCCCACGTACAAAGCAAACGCCACTAGGAAGAACTGGATGGTCGGTCGAACAAGTCGCGTCCACTTCCCCTGCATTCTGGCCTGGACATACAGCTGTGTACACACACACACACACACACACACACACACATTTTAAATCAACTGATAATTGATAATTATATGGCCATTTTATACCATACCTGAACAAAGCGCACCAAAGGCGCTGGCCTGGCCACCAGGGGCAACTTGGGGTTCAGTGTCCTGCACAAAGACTCAACATGTGGACTGGGGAGAAGGGGAATCGAACTACCAACCCTGTGACCCCAATCAACCTAATCTTAACATTTTCCTAAACTTACCAAAATATTATCAAATATTTATTACAGATTGACAAGTATCTATAATTCTTGTTCTATTCTATTTAACTGATTCCTGACGCTGCTGTTAATGTAACAGAAGCTTTAGCAGCTCGAGCAGATTTTCCAGTATTTCATTCCTGAACACTAACAGGGATTAAACGGCCGAGCCCGTCATCTTCTGGTCATTGTACGATGTGTAGTATTACAGCAATATTTTTAAACTCTACTTGTGCATCTGTGTTGACCACCTCCACCTATTTGAGTCATTTGTGTGTGTTTTTGGTAAAACAAACATTTCACAGGCACAGAAAGTCTCACACAGTGACAACACTCACCGACAGAAAGAGCATGCAGTACATCCCGAAGGATGAGTGGCCGGAGTAGAATGACAACCTGAGGAGCAAAACAATCATGTACAGCATTTACTATTTTTATGCCCGATCATGGATGCAATACCTTTCAACTTCACATATTTATGACAGATCCAGTACAAACATTTCCTAGGGAGAGTTTGACTTATGTGTTAACTTTACCATTAACATTATTATTGTCCAAATTGAGTCATACTGGCAAAACTAAGTATTTAAAACTGAACTAAAAGCTAGTCAATTGATAAGTTGAGGATATCTACTAATTGTGAAGATTTGCTTGTTTCCTGCATCACATCACTGTGATTGAATGTTTTTGGGTATTGACTGTAGGTCAAGGTAAGCATTTTTAAGACAACTTTGGTAATCTTGGTAAACAATAACAGACATTTTTCGTTATGCTTCAACATGCTAAATAAAACAACATCCTATATGTAAACTGGCTGACATTCGCTGTCCATTTTATTTAACCAGAGCAGTCAAATAAATTCAGAAAACTGATGGAAACGTGTTAATTATAGCCATTTTAAAATGCATTTCCTGATGGTTTCTACTTGGTTTTCTTTTTTGTTTATTATTATTAAACAACAAATGTGAAGATTTGATCACTGTAAATTAATACCTTTTGGACTAGTTTTAGATTGGTGGTAAACAGCAGTTAGTAAACATCTTTTTAGGCTCTGAGAATCTGCAAAAGTACAGTAAGATGTTCCATTATTATCAATGTTATCAACTCCCTATAGATTAAATCATGTTACCACCATAGTGTCTATCAAAGCTGTGTAGTGTACAACTTTAGGATTTTAAACGTAGTCAGTTTCAATATGTGCTGTCAGAAACCTGAATCCTACTTGAGTCAGACTTCACTACATAATAATGACACAGCATAAAGACAGCGAGGGGAGTGTAGCGGAGATCCAGCCCACCTGGATTCAGTCACATTGCGAAGGTCGCCAGTGCAGTTGCTCGCCAGCACGAGACCATGACAGCTGCTCGGGTTGCACACGGCTAAGAAGTTTGGACGGGGTCGACCTATGGTGAACTTTGCCAGGTCAGTCAGTGACTGGCTAACGACTCCTCCAAACAGGAAGGTGCCGACCACCTTGTAGAGAGCTGATAGGTACTGGTTGAACTGGGAGTTGGAGTGGAGGCGTTTGGTGTGTACCAGGTAGGCTTCTCCTGTAGTAATCTGTGGAGTGAAGGGAAGATGTCAGCTCAACTGGGGGGAAAAAAAAAAAAAAAAAAATCTATTATGGTCTTATGTCTTTCTATTACTGAGCTCAGACAGACAAGACTGTGGTACTCACAATGACTATGGAGCAGCAGATGGTGACTGCAGCCATGACTCCATGGGAGATGGTGTCTTTCCTGTATGGATAGCTGATGCTCTCGTCATCACAGGAGATATCTCTATAGTAAGGTCTGAACCTTAACGTCAGTATGACTGACGGTAATGACGCTGGAGAGAGAAAGGAAGACTGTCGGCACAAAATCCACGCTACTGCTAAATAAAACATATGAAATTAAAACAGTACCTTGATGTAGTTTAATAGATGCAGTAAATGTGTATAATTACAGCAACAGCACAAATTAGAGGTAAGCGGGAATAAAATTGCATTCAAGTGTAAATTGAGGCTCTGAAACAATAATACTGTATTCTCTGGGAGCCACACTGTACTGTAAGAGCTGAAGGTGCATCCTGAGAGCAGCTTTCAGCTCCGCATGGAGTCAAACGTGAACACAATGAAGCACAGCTCAGGAAACAGCTAAGAACACACTGATGGACTTATCTTTTGGCTTTGGCCAGAAGGCCTGACGCTGCCAAGTAAATGAATTTGTCATCAGTAGAACTTAGCGGTCATACACACTGTGGCAGTCTGTTAGACGTGAACACTTACAGCTAGTGTTTCCTCTTTTCTGGTTCCTGCTTAATGCACAGCACCACAAGTATAAACCTGTCTGGTGAATTCACTGTATTTTGGAGGAACTTTAAAAATGAAAGTGGAAGATGAGTAAAGCAAAAAGTGTGGGCTTTCTTGTATTAAAATACTTGGTCTTTAACCTCTTAAACTTTTAATTTTATCCTAAAATGTTCCACGAGGCTTCATCAATTTAGAAGAAACATCAAATGGACAGAATCTTGCTGTATCAGTTATCACTTCATTAAAACAGTAGGAATTCTTATGCTGAATCAAACGTTGAAACCCAAAAAACTATGATACATGAACAAAATATTCTTACATTTTATACACATCCCCAAAACACAGCCTAATATATTTAACATCTTTGGAAACTGGGATATCTACAAAAAGTTCAACCAAAGCTCTGTGGGTATAAACAATGCCTGTTTTTAATGGGAGTTAAAACAATAAGGCTGGTGACACTAAGACTAAAGCCAACAATGTGTTAGACTGCCTCATGATACTTTTTTGAATGACTCTTCCTCTGTGCTGAAGAATTTAACATGCTGTTTGTCTATAAATCTTTCATCATCATTCTCTACATCATTTTTTAGCTAACTCTACTGAAAGAGGAGCAAAGCAGTGTATTTGTAAGGGACTATTTTCAGTCACAGATATGATTGTGACTAAAACTCAAAATAAACTACAGTGCCCACGCTCACAGTGAGGAAAAGATATGCCACCCAGTGATGTGCTATTAAATAGTCTTTGGACAACAACAGAGCCCTATCGGGCATATGACATCAGGTTAGTAGGGTCGTCTCATGGGATTTGTTGATAGCAAGAAAAATAAAGAATACTGACAAGGTTCCAGAGTAGGAAATTCAAATGGAAAACCATCACTGAAGCAGTGTAAAACAGCAGAATCCTCTAAACTTCACACAACAACCTCACAATCTACTAAAATTAAGTCAAAAACCTTGCAGCAGATATGACAAAATGTTGGTAATTTCTTGGTGGTGTTGTACCGGAATGCATTATATTTTACAGCTTGCTATATTACTGTACATATTCCCTTGTATATGCATTTTTTTCCCCCCATCTTTAAGCACTGACCCACACTGCACCCAGCCTATGTCCCTATGAGGAGCATGGAGGAGGCCTAATCAGGCTCTAACACCTCATGTCATATTTGTCACCATTTTGAAACAAGTGCCACTAATGACCTCTGACAACAAGCAGTTTCTTCATTAAAGAGAATTTATTTTCATTTTGCTCTTCATATCTCAGAGCTCATTATTCCAGCAGGTCAGGTGTGTCGTCTGTTGCTCTTTGAAGTGAAACCCGCTACTGTTTATTCTGCATAGTGCCAAGATGAAATGTAAATAAGAGACTACATCTGACACAAAGTCTCTGGTGGCTGCACAGGGTGGAGATGTGAGTCGACAGAGGCAATGGCTTTCTACACACACACACACACACACACACACACACACACACGGTAACCACCACTAAGCTCATTTAACAGCAGGACAATCCTCTAAACGTGCTCCAGTTGTTTCTGGGAACCGAGCCCATGGACAGTGCCTATGCTCTGAGCAGGACTGGCTGTGTTTATCTCTATTATTCCAGAAGGCCTGATGTGTTTTCACAGGCTTTTGCAGGCGGGATGGCCTCACCTAGCAGATACTGAATCAAGCTGGAGAGGAGAGAGGTTAATTCCACAAACTGACTAAACAAACCTACTTGGCATTTGAAATGAAGCCAAGTGGGAAACACACATATAACACTGTGAAAGAAAGTGAACAGGGATATTTCATAAAATGTTTGAGCTACACCACTGTGTTTCAGCTTAATGACAAATGTTTTCTTTATCCTTCATCCATATTACCAAAGGTGAGACTAAGTCGCTCATGTCCGAGTCAAAAGCAAGTCTTAACCTTTACGTCTCAAGCAAGTCCCGAGTTACTGTGTTGAGAACAGAGTCAAATCCCTACTTTAAGTCAAGCAAGTTGCAAGTCATACAAAATCCTATAATCCGATAATGTTATGGGAATAGCGTGTATTATTTAAGTGAAATGTTCAGCCTCCCTTGATTAATAACTATGCATTGGTAGGCTATGAACTAACCCTCAGCTATTAGATAAAAAGGCCAAGCTATCGCAGACAGTGACAGGTGAGTCTGGGTGTTGTGGTGGTTGTGTCGCTGATTTTTCTGCTGCAGACTTTGCATTCCACTGTTCTTCTTACTAGCATCATTGACAACATAATCCTTAAATCAAAAGGTTATTACTTTTGGACTAGGCCCCCGATGATAGCTGCATTCTGTGTCCCATGTTGCCCTCTGCTGGTCTGCCGTGTTCTGGTAGATAGCCACGTTTGCATGTATTGCACTAGAAATCACCCAACTGTGTTTCAAAGACCAAATGTAACTTCTCAGTATCTAGAAAATGCTATTATTTAATTTAAAAAGTGAGGTAAGTTCAAGTCATCTATCACAAGCCTAAGTCAAGTCATGAAAACCAAGTCGAGTCTTTTACCAGTATTAGTCAAGCAAGTCTCAAGTCCTCAAACTTGCAACTCAAGTCTGACTCGAGTCCCCCGCCTCTGCTTTTTACCTTCTTATTTCCTTTCCTTCATCTTTTACCCACCTAAAATCCTTCCTTTTCTTCCGTTATTGATCTGATAAGTCTTTTTTTAAACCACAAAGTGAAACTATTCCTCTTCACCATACTTTCCTTTTTGAGTACATTTTAGTCCTAATACCTACAGGTCAAACTTTGGAGGATATTTCAATGTAAAGGGGTATATTTATTCTGTGGGTTTGTTGCTTCTACTGCAGGAAAAGGAATCTTTGGTGGACCTGAACAACTTGTATCATCCTACTCTGACATTTTACAAATAGATGTTACATTTTGTTTAATATACACTTTCTCTATGAACGTTTACAGCCACAAACAATGCAGACACTGGTTCCAGATCTGTCTTTCTTAAGAACACACAGTGTTTCTGCTGAGTTCTTGTGTTCAGTAACAAAATGTCCACAGGAGAGATAAAACAAAAAAAGGAAGGAGGGAAAGTATTGTTTTACACTTTTATAATCTCTTTTGGCAAGAGCCTGAAAAAAACCCCCGTCCACTTTGAGAAAATAAACATAATGGAATTTCAGACAAGTGCGACTTCCCCTTGACCTCTGACCCAACGGGATGCGGGAAGTGTTCCTGTTTTTCAACTCTGAAGATAAGTGGCTGATGGAAAAAAAAAAATGACACACTTACTGAAAAACAGAACCAAAAACAGTGTTTGATGTGAACATTTGTTTGCGGTCTGCATGTTGAAAATTAACGGACACCTGTGAGATTTGTGCGTCTGCTGGGCGACCAGGCGGTTTGTTAGCTGATGGTGATTTGCAACTGGTGTTCCACATCACACTGAGGTGCTTGGAAAACCATTGCTTAATTTGGGAAGATCCTTCTTTTGTTTGTTTGGGAACTTTTAGTCCTTGGCACGCAATGCTGCATTTTTTTCAACACTGCATTCCCCAGAAATCACATGTCACAATCAAACGTCTCCAGGGCTCTGGTTTCTTTCAGGGACTTTGTTGAAGTCTTTTTCTTTTAAGCTTCTAAGAGCTACCTTTGCTTGACAGGTTTTTGGGATTAATCTAATGATTTCAAGAAACAGTCAGTCCAAAGAAAGTACATCACTTCCTGTGAGGCCTGGGAAAGTCCTACCCTGCGCTTTGTGATAAAAAAAACCCCATTTTCTTGTTATATCCGCTACGATACAGTAGCGGGACCTTTTTTGTATAAAAAGGTTATGCGTCACTTAAAACAATAATACTACATCCTCTGGAATGCATTGTTTTTGCCAACAGAGAGAGAAAGTCTGCGTGTTAGTGTATTGAATGAATGTTTGTGTATGTGTTGTGAGGCATTTTTAATGTAGTCAGTGTCTCCAATATGCCACAAACGACCAACGAGGGGTCTGGCTACTCTACAGTTCCTTCAACTAGTTAACCATCTTAGAACAGGAACAAAGCCTTGTATTAAAATGCCCTGAACAGAAGAACATTCCTCACATAACCTTTTGGAATCGTACAACCTGTGCAAACTGAATTAAGCACTGCCCCCCCCAGTTATAGAGCGCAGATGTATGAATCTTCTCCTCCCAGCTAGCTTAGTTTTCACATTCATAATCACCCTTGATGGGGGGAATGCACCTTGATCATCTTTCACTGTACATATGTTGCAAGTTTTAGTATAATAACAATAAATAAAGGACTGCAGAGCCTGAAAGTAGGTGCTCTGTAAGAATGACTTGTGTTACGCTGAAGCCATCAATAACTACATTTTCTGAACAATCAATCTCTGAAGTTCAAATCTTACTGAAGTGTGCAAAATGAAACTGACTTTGACCTTTCAATTAAAGGACACTGGAAATGAAAATAGTTCTTCCTTTCTCATATGAAACAACCAATCCCACAGTCCATATATATGCAGCAGTACTTATAGTGCTGTGCTCTTTACAAGCAACTAGCGAACACCACAAACTTTGT